TTTCTGATGAAGGGTCTAGACCCGAAACGTCAGCTTTCCTGCTCCTTTGATTGGCCTGCCGTGTTCATCCAGCTCTACACCTTGTTATCTTTAAAACTGCGCTCACCGTTCACCGCCGCCATCATCTACGCTCCGGCCGACATGCGCCAAACCGCGTCATCACTGGGTCCCACAGTCACGTGATGGTCACGGCCGTGGTGTCTGCCGGGACTTGTAGTCCCGCCCTCAAAGTGGAGTTAGTTCTGGAGACCGCCAGACCGCAAAAAGCTGGTAAAAGGAAGTATAGTAAAGTTAGGCAACATGTGCACAGACAAAGATAAGCCGGGTTAAGTTTGCTGCTGGTAACAGGTCACAGATCTGAAATGTCAATCGTCTTTATCTCTCCACACAGACACAGCTTGAACTTGCTACCGAGGTTGCTCCCCCAGCAGCGTTATATTTTTCTTTCAGTTTTCCAGCGTCCACAATATTCTACTTTTTCGATTTCTACTCGAGATGAAATTGCAGTTTAGACTGATATGCAATGCTGAGTCTTGGTGCTTTCACCAAAGATTCTTTGGAATGAAGGTGCTCCATAAGAGTCACTTTTCCCAACTAATTTTAGATTGTTAACAGAAAATCTTACATTTTTAATATAATTTATTATATTCTCTGGACTTCCAAGGCACTGCAACTTCTCTGAAATGTTATATTTGTTACGCAGGCAAACGCGATAACCAGTTCATTAAAAGTCATGTTGGTCAAAACATTCAGAAATCTTGTTTTTCTGATTAGTAATTTTAATCCACTTGACGAGGCATACAATGTCTTGCACTATGTCATCAAACATATACTAGGACTGTCATAGTGTTAAAGGCTTAGATGGAGAGGAATTTGTTAAGTATGTACAAGAAAATTTTCTTATTCAGTTTGTGGATGTACCTACTAGAGAAGGAGCAAAACCTGGCCTTCTCTTGGGAAATAGGCAAGGCAAATGACTGAGGTGTCAGTGGCGGAGCACTTTGGGGCCAGTGATCATAATTGTATAAGCTATGGTATGTTATGTTATAGTTATGGGAAAGGATAGACCTAATCTACAAGTTAAAGTTCAAAGTTGGAGTAAGACCAATTTTGACGCTACTAGGCAGGAACTTTCAAAACTTGATTGGGAGAGGCAATTTGCAGGTAAAGTGATGGTTGGAAAGTGGGAGGCCTTCAAAAATGAGATAACAAGGGTTCAGAGACAGTATGTTCCTGTTAGTATGAAGGGCAAGGCTGATACGTGTTGGGAATGCTAGATGACTAGAGAAATTGAGGTTCTGGTCAACAAAAAGAGGCAATGTTAGGCATAGACAGCTGGGATCACATAAATCCCCAGAGAAGTATAAGGACAGTAGGAGTATACTTAAGAGGGAAAAAAAGTGGCAAAAAAGGCACATGTGATAGTTTTGGCAAATAAAGTTATGGAGAATCCAAAGAGATTCTACAAATACATTAAGGACAAAAAAAAGTAGGTAGGGAGAGAATAGGACCCCTTAAAAATCAATAAGACTATCTATGTGTGGAACCACAGGAGATGGGTGAGATACTAAACTAATATTTTGTTTTAATATTTACTGAGAAAGACATGAAATCTAAAGAACTTGGGAAATAAATAGGTGAGAAATCACACAACACCGGGTATCATCCAACAAGTTTATTTGAATACACGTCATGAAATAAATAGTGATATCTTGAAAAGGTGCTGGATATCTTCAAATACATAAAGGTGAATAAATACTGATTAGGTGTATCCTTCAACTTTGTGAGAAGCTAGAGAAGAGATTGCTGGGCCCCTTGCAGAGATGTTTGTAACATCGATAGCCATAGGTGAAGTGCTGGAAGACTGAAGATTATCTAATGTGGTGCCATTATTTAAGGAAGGTGGTAAGGAAAACCAGGAACTATAGACAGGTATCTCTGACATCAGTGGTGGATAAGTTGTTGGAGGGGATTCTGAGAGACAGGATTTACATGCATTTGAAAAGACAAGGACTAATTAGGGAAAATCAACATGGCTTTGTGCATGGGAAGTCATGTTTCACTAACTTGATTGAGTCTTTTGAAGAAGTAACAAAGATGTTTGATGAAGGCAGAGTGGTGGATGTTGTCTATATGGGTTTCAGCAAAGTGTTCAACAAGGTTCCGCATGGTAGGCTAGTTAGCAAAGTTAGATCAGATGGAATCCAGGTGGAACCAGCCAACTGGATACATAATTGGCTTGAAGGTAGGAGACAGAGGGTGGTGATGGTGGGTTGTCTTTTGGCCTGGAGGCCTGTGACCAGCGGTGTACTACAGGTATCTGTGTTGAGTCCACTGCTTTTCATTATTTAAAGAAATTATTTGGATGTGAATATAGAGGTATGGATAGTAAGTTTGCAGATGACACCAAAATTGGTAGTGTAGTTGACATGAAGAAGGGAACAGAGTAGGGAACAGAGTATTAAAATAGGGAAGTCTTCCTAGGCCCTAGTCAGAGCACAGCTGGAGTACTGCGAACAGTTTTTCACCCCTTAGGAAAGATATACTGGCTTTGTAGGCAGTGCAGAAATGATTCACTTGGTTCATCCTGGTTATGGAGAGATTTTCGTATGAGAAGTGGATAAGTAGATTAGGCTCAGAGTAAGAACTGCAGATGCTGGAGTCAGAGGTAACACAGCGTGGAGCTGGAGGAACACAGCAGGCCAGGCTGTATCAGAGGAGCAGGAAAATTGACATTTCAGGTCGGGACCCTTCTTCTTGTACTCATTGGAGTCCAGAAGAATGAAAGGTGACCTTATTGAAACATGTGAGATTCTTAGGGGGCTTGGCAGGGCAGATGAGAAGACTCTAAGACCAGAAGGCATAATCTCAGAGTGAGGAGTTGCCCATTTAAGACAGAGATAAGGAATTTTTTTCTCTCAGGGGATGTTGAATCGATGGAATTCTTTACCACAGAGCTGTTGAGGCTGAGTTGTCAAGATTTTTCAAAGCTAAGAAAGATTTTTAATGTTTAAGGGAATGAAAGGTTATGGAGATAAGACAAGATAGTGAAGTTGAGGATTATCAGATCAGTCAGTTTCATTGAATGGTGGAGAAGACTTGATGGACTGAATGGCCTGTTGTGCTTTTATGCATTATGGTCTTATCATGTTGAAAGGTGAAGCAGAAATGACAGGCCAAATGGTCTGTTACTGCTTGTCTGTAGTGCTGTAAAAGTTCTGTAATTTTGTGTATCTGCCCGGGTTATGTGCTCAAATTCAGGATTGTGGCTTGTCTCCACAAACCTCTGACCACCTGAGAATTTAAAGAGAAAGTCTTTAAACAATGATAGTATAACAGAGTTTTTATAGCATGGAGAGGCCTTTCAGCCCATCTTTTCTGTACCAGCCAACAAACATCTATTCTACTACTATTTCCAGCAGTGGCCTTGTATGTTATGGCATTTCAAGTGTTGATCTGAAGAGTTCTTAAATGTCTTGAGGTTTCCTGTCTCTGCCACACTTCTAGACAGTGAGCTCCTGGTACTCCACGACCCTCTGGGTGAAAGAAATGGTAAGGCCCTTGACAATTGGTGAGCCACCATCTTCAATGGCTGCAGTCCTTTTAGATGCTGCATCATTTGCGGTGTATCTACAGCATTTATTTTAGATTCATCTACTGCATTTCGCTTGAGGCATGGGTTGAGTGTATAAGGTGCGGTAACAGATTGGATCTGATCACTCCGGTTAAGGTAACTTGGAACCTCAGAGACGACTCAGCATTATTATTTCCATTGATAGCTTTTTCTTCAAAGTTGGGTGCTGCAGGAGAATTCATATGGGGCTCAAAAAGTGAACCAGCATCTGCAGTTCTTTGCTTTATAGAATTACAAGTATGTTGTTTTTCCAGTTTGAGTCGAGCCGCAGATGGCAAGTTTCTTCAGCGTGTCCGGTTTCTTTATAATTGCACATTTCCAGCAATCTGCAAGACTTTGCACGGAATAGTAGGGGTGGGAGTGGGCTAGGCAAAAAAAATCTTTCCCCCATCGCCCCAAAGAAATCCTTATCGCCCGAACTACAACTTTGCCCCAAAACCCTGCCCACTGTGACGCACAGGGCGGGAGGTTCCGGGTGACGTCGGGGGGGAGGGCGGGGGACGTCCTTTGTGACATCACAATAGGAGACACGGGTTGGCTGGCAACGGCGAGTGAGTTGTTCGCGCGTGCGCGGTTCCACTCGGCAGAAGGGTGCGAGTGCGAGAGGCTGGCGGGTGGAGGACGAGCCGGCGGTAGGGTAGTTGGAGGGTGAAGCTGTTCGTTAACTTTTCCGACGTCTGTGGTGGGGGAGGGTGATACGTTAAGAGAATCGGAAACGATGTCGGAATTCGACGCTAATCCGTTCGCGGATCCGGTGGATATCAATCCCTTTCAGGTAAGTTTGTAATTTGGTGCTGGTGGGTAAGAGTAAACAAATTATTTTTTTTTCCGGGTCGTGTTTTTGCTGGGCAGCGGAGCGTCGAGGCGCATTCCTGAGTTGACCGAACCTGCTGGGCGGTTGATTGACGTGGTGTCCGACCAATCAGGGAGCTGGTGCCTGCTTTCCACGCCCAGTCAGCGGCCAGCGGGGGCGGGGGAAAAGTCGAGGGCGCCAGCGCGTTCGGCTGCCGCCGCACCTTCTCCTTGGCTTCTCTGCCTCTTTAACGCAAGTCGCTGGACAACGCAGCAGCCGTTACCCACACGCATTTCATAATAACTACTGCGTATTATTCCAAATACTGCCCTGACAGGATGTCCTGAGGCATTATAGTCTTTATCCACGTCGGTTTTGTTTTTGTTTTTTTCACCACCTCCAGTATCGTTTTATCACTTTTTGTAATCTGGAGACGAGATCAGTACGGGTTTAGCATAACCCTCTCCTTTCTCGTCTCGAGTTATTTGTTTGAAGACCTGGGAGCAGAAGTAAGCCGTTCGGCCTATCGAGTGTGCACCGCCATTCGACGAGATTAGGGCTGAGCTGATGTTCCTCAGCTTCATATCCTCGCCTTTTCCCCTCATTGCCCTCGACTCCCTTTACAAACATGGACAGAAAGTGGTGGAGAACCTCAGCACGTCTGGCAGTATTTGTGGAGAGAGAAAGAGTTAATGTTTCGAGTGCAGTGACCTTTCTTCAGAGTTTGACACTCTCTCTGATTAAAAGTCTTCTTGAATATGCTTAATGACTCAGCCTCCTGTGCTGAAGA